GCCGAGTGGTTAAAGCGTTCGCTCATCCAAAGGCCAGGGTTCGAGTCACCACATGGGTACATTATGTGAAGCCCATGTCTTGTGTAGCCCGTCTTGATATATTGCTGGAATATTTCTAAAAGCGACGTAAAACCCACCTGACTCACTCACTCATATCGGCCGCAAGAGCCTACTTAATCACGGGCTGCTGAAGACCAATTCTAACCCGGGTCTTCACTTGTCCTGAAACATTGTAAGAAGGAAGTTTCCTTGGAGTTAGGATTTTGTTGAATTCGTCCGATGTGGAATGAAATTTGAACTCGGTCGGTGAGTATGTTACAAGAGAGGGATATTTTAGCAACATTCTCTCCTATAATAATGATTTCTACAAACCCGTGTGGTTTACTGTACTGGATGGATGTGTGAAGCCCCTTTCTGGTGTTCCCCGCCGTGAAATTGCTGGAATATTGCTAAAAGCGGCGTAAAACTTAACTCACTCACTCACTGCAATGGGTGTCGCAATCCACTCGGATTACGGAGCTGTTGAATGGGAACCGAATATGGGCATATTTAAGAGGAAATACGTCTGATGTTCCTAGTATCATCCGGCGAACAGTGCATGGCAGGTAATCCAGCAACATCTCGCACAGTAATACTATTTTTAAACACTAACAAAGCCGGATTGTCATCACACCACGGAACAAAGATCAGCCTATCTCAACTCGCGACACACAACAGATTTTTCCTTCATACTTCAATATTCAACCCTGATTTGGTGTTAATTCAATGTTTTGTTGGGTTTTGGGTTTGTTTGTTTTTGGTTTTGCTCGAGGGGTATATGTCTGTATAGTTGACATTTTGCTGGCACCTTCTGGGCCTGACAATTCTTGGTGACCATTATTGGCTCCGTCAAGTCTCGCCGAATGATTAGCATCTTGCTGGCAGTCTCTAATGGAGTCTGGACTACACAATCCAGTGGGTAATATGACCATCAGCTATCAACGAAAGAGCGTGTAACTCCTTCAAAGTTGTGGTGTATAGGACATATGACTTCCGAAACTGAAAGTTCAATTTAAGGGTTGTTATCAGCATGGGATCTATTAGACAACATTACTGATCAAGATGAATAGAGACGCGTAATGATGAGGTCACTCAGTCGAGTCATACGGTTGTTGATTCATGGTTTCGTTGTAATGACTCTGAGTTATGTTGTGTATATTAATTCAATGAAATTTACTAATTGGAATATGTTTTTTTATCTTCTTTTAAAAACAATACCCAAATCAGACCGACTAGTGTCTTGAAACTGTTACTTTTTAAACCTTGTGGCAACGTTTAGTGCAGGCTTGAAATCTTGCTGGCTTTGTTTTGTCTTGATGGTGGACGTTTGCTTACTCCTGCCTCGAGCACATTTTGCTGACTAGTTGGCATCTTAATTGTTGTAGAATTCCATGTAGTAGTGGTAGGAGATGTGTAGTGGTAGTAGAAGTTGTATTAGGTGCTCTTGTCGTAGTAGACGTTGTAGTAGTAGATGTAGTAGGTGTGCTGTTGTAGTAGTAGTAGTAGTTATTGTAGAAATTGTCTTTTAGTAGTGGTAGGAGATGTGTAGTGGTAGTAGAAGTTGTATTAGGTGCTCTTGTCGTAGTAGACGTTGTAGTGGTAAATGTAGTAGGTGCTGTTGTTGTAGTAGTAGATGTAGTAGTAGTAGTAGTAGTAGTAGTGGTAGAAGAGGAAGAAGTAGTATTAGTAGGAGAAGAAGTAGTAGTGGAAGTAGTAGTAGTAGTAGAAGTAGTAGTAGTAGAAGTAGTAGTAGTAGTAGTAGTAGTAGTTATTGTTGTCTTAGTAGTGGTAGGAGATGTGTAGTGGTAGTAGAAGTTGTATGAGGTGCTCTTGTCGTAGTAGACGTTGTAGTGGTAAATGTAGTAGGTGTTGTTGTTGTAGTAGTAGATGTAGTAGTAGTAGTAGTAGTGGTAGTAGTGGTAGAGAGGAAAGAAGTAGTATTAGTAGAAGAGTAGTAGTAGGGAAGTAGTGGTAAAAAGTAGTAGTAGTAGTAGAGTAGAGTAGTAGTAGTAGTAGTAGTGAGTAGATGTAGTAGTGAGTAGTGGTAGTATTATTAAATTGGGAGAAGAGAAGTAGTATTAGTGAGAAGAAGAAGTAGTTGCAGTAGTAGAAGCAGTAGTAGTGAAAGTAAAGTAGAGTGAAAGAGTAGTCAAGTGTAGTAGTAAGTATTAGTTGTTATTGTTGTCTTAGTGAGTGAGTAGGAGATGTGTAGTGGTAGTAGAAGTTATATATTAGGTGCTCTTGTCATGAAAGTAGACGTTGTAGTGGTAAATGTAGTAGGTGCTGTTGTTGTAGTAGTAGATGTAGTAGTAGTAGTAGTAGTGTAGTAGTAGTAGTAGAAAGTGAAGTAGTATTAGTAGGAAAGGGAGAAGTAAGTAGCAGTAGTAGAAGAGTAGTAGTGGTGAAGTAGTGGTAAGTAGTAGTAGTAGTAGTAGTAGTAGTAGTAGTATGGGGTAGTAGTAGTGAAGTTAGTAGTGAGTAGTGGTGCTTCATTGTGAGAAAGTGATGTAGTAGTAAGATAGTGAGTAGTGAGTAGTAAAGGGTAATAAGTAGTAGTAAGTAGTTATTGTTGTCTTGACAAAGTAGTGGTAGGAGATGTGTGAGTGAGTAGTAGAAGTTGTATTAGGGTACTCTTGTCATGAAAGTAGACGTTGATGAGTGAGTAAATGTAGTAGAGTGCTGTTATTTGTAGTAGTAGATGTAGTAGAGTAAGTGTAATGAGTAGTAGTGGTAGAAGAAGGAAGAAATGAAAAGTAATTAGTAGAAGAAGAGTAGAAGTGGTAGTAGTATTAGTAAGTATGTAGTGAAAGAAGAGGAATGAAGTGTGAGAGTGCAAGTAGAAGTAGTAGAAGTGAGTAGTATAAGTAGTAAAGAAAGTGTAGTCTTGGAAGTAAATGTGAAGTAGTAGAGTAAAATTAATTAAGTAGTAGTAAGAGTAGCTAAATGAAAGTAGTAAGTGGTAGTAGTGAAGTAGAAAGAGGAAAAATAGTAAGTAGTAGTAGATGTGTAGAAGTAGTAGTAGTGAAGTCTTAGTAGTGGTAGAAGATGTGTATAGTAGTAAAGTTGTATTATCACACTCTTGTAGTAGTAGACGTTGTAATTAGTAAATGCTTAGTGGGGTGCTGTTGTTGTAGTGAAAAGTAGTAGTATAGTAGTAGTAGTAGAAGAGTAGTGGTAGTGAAAGTAGAGAGGAAATGGAAGTGAGATTAGTAGAAGAAGTAGTAGTAGTAGTAAATAAGTAGTAGAGAGAATTTAGTAGTAAGAGAGTAGAAAGTAGGAAGATAAGTAGTGTAGTAGAAGTAAAAGGGAAGTAGTAGTAAGTAGTAGTGGATTATTGTTGTCTTAGTAGTGGTAGGAGGATGTGTAGTGGTAGTAGAAGTTGTGACAGTTATCCTGTCATAGAAGACGGTAGTGAGAGTATATAAAGTAGTGATAGAATCTTTATTGCTTAGTAGTAAGAATGCTAGTAATAGTAGCAGTAGTGTAGTAAAGTAGTGGTAGAGAGGAAGTAAGTAGTAGAAGTAGTGGAGGAAGTAGTAGTAGAAGTGGATGGTAAGTTAAGTAGTAAGTAGAATTGAGTAGTAGTGAGGGAGTGTAAAGTATTAGTGAAAGTAGAGTGGGAGTAAGTAGTGAGGAAATGAAATTGAAGTAGTAGTAAGTAGTAGTGAAATAGTAGTAGTAATAGATGGTATTAAATTTAGTAGTGAAGAGTAGTAGATGGAAGTAGTGAGTAGTAGTAAAGTAGTGGTTATTGTTGTCTTAGTGGTGGTAGGAGAAGTTGTAGTAGGTGCTATGTGTCAATGGTAGACGTTGGATAGAAGCAGAGTATATATAGTGGAGGTCACTGTTATTGTAGTAAAAGAGATGTAATGGTAAGTAGAAGTAGTAGAAGTAGTGGTAGAAGAGGAAAAATAGTAGGAAGTAGAAGAAGTGAAATGTAGTGGAAGTAAGTATGTAGAGTAAGTAGTAGTAAGTGAAGAAGTAGTAAGTAATGTAGTAGTAAGTAGTAGTGGTAGTAGTAGTTATTGATTTGTCTTAGTAGTGGTGAAGATGTGTAGTGGTATTTAGGGGTTGTATTTAGTATTATGTAATGTCGTGGTAGACGGTGTAGTGGTGTGTAGTGGGTGCTGTAGTAGATTGGTAGATGTAGTGGTGAGTTGGTAGTGGTAGTAGTAGTGAGTAGTGAGGTGGTGGTGAAGAAGTAGTATTAGTGAGTAAGTGGTGAGTAGTTATTGTAGTCTTAGTGGTGAGAGATGTGTAGTGGTGGTAGAGTTGTTAGGTGCTCTTGTCATGACGTAGTGAGTGGTAAATGTAGTGATTGGTGATGTAGTGTGGTAGTTGTTCTAGTAGTAGTATTAGTAGTAGTAGTAATAGTGGTGGAAGAGGGAAAGTGAGCCATTTGAAGTAGTAGTGAATTGGAGTAGTAGTGGAGTGTAGTAATTAGTGAGTGTTATTGTCTTGGTGAGTGAGTGGGTGGAAGGTTTGGTTTTACACGCCACACTTTTAACAATATTCCAAAACAACTAATATCACGGCGGGGAACACCAGAAATGGGCCTGCGTAGCTTTGCAACTCGATGAAGCCCACCCATGTGAATCAGACCCAGGTCTTCATGACGAGGCAGACGCCTTAGCAACCACTTCAAACCACCGCCCTGTTGTCTTAGTAGTGGTGGGAGATGTATGGTAGTGAGTAGATCTTTTGTAGTAGTAGAGTATTTCAATAGCAGAGGTTAGTAGGACTCTGGTGAGTATAAGTTTAACGTGAGTAGACGTTTAGTATAGTAGTAGTAGTGGTAGTAGTAGTAGTAGTATAGTAGTAGTAGTAGTAGTAGTAGTAGTAGTAGTTGTAGCCAGTAGTAGTAGTAGTAGTTAAATAGAGTAGTAGTTGTTGTAGTAGTAGATATAAAGTAATCCAGAAGTGTTTGTGGCATTTCTGTTTTTCTCATAGTCGGGCGCATTCCACCCAATCCCAGGGAGAGAAAAAGAAGATGACAGGTAATGCGCAATTTATTTATATAACAGTTGTTTACAATAGTGTAGGTTTCCAAACACGTCCATTTTCGTATCTAAAGTTTGTTGTTTAATGCTGCATTCAGCAATATTCCAGCTATATGGCGTCGGTCTGTAAGTACTCGAGTCTGCACCAGACAATCCAGTGACCAACAGCATGAGCATTGATCTGCGCAATTGGGAACCTATGACATGTGTCAACCAAGTCAGCGAGCCTGACCACCCGATCCCGTTAGTCGCCACTTACGACAAACATGTGTTGCTGAAGAACAATTCTAAAACGGATCTTCACGGGTCTCATATTTTCAGGAAAGAAGGAAATAGTGCATGTATGAGTATAGTTTTACGTCTCTTTTATCAATATTTTAAAAATGCTACTTTTGCTCGAAAAATAGGTTTGATGATCAAATAGACACGCATTTATTGTCTATCTTTTCAAATTTTATCAGTTGTAAGTTGCTGTACACTTGATTGACTGAACGTGGCTATATCCACAACACTAACAGTATTTGAATCAGGATTTAGAAGTGATACACAAAGGAGAGACAATTTATGGACGCCAGTGTCATTAACAACACAGCTTTAGAGTATACGCTTCGAAGATTATCTCCCTCACTACAGAATAGTCTGAATGTAAATTACTCCTAGCACGGGGAAAGGGCAGATTTAAAAATTCCATCATGTATAAGTATTTCATGTCAAAATTCATTTTAGCTTTCCATTTTTCTAAATGAATATGTGTAAATAACGTATGAGATTATATATGCATTCTATTCCCTCATGTCCCGAATGGAAAAAAAGGAAGCCTTCATATCATCAAATGTTTAAATGATATCTTAGTTTGATTTTTGTTGAAATTTTGAAGTTGTTTGCTTGGTATTGATAGTATTTCAGATAGTGTTATAAACTTAAATAATAATATAGACTGTGCCAGTCTAGTATGTGTTACAAGAGTGTCCAAATGTGTATATCATGATATCCCCCGATCTACTTTAGTGATTCTCTGGTATCAATGAAACCACCATTTAATATTGTAACTCAACATATATTAGTTTCTGAATTTACCAATCCATCCCATCTACGCGAACCCCAGTGTGCTCATTTAACAAATGTCGGCGAGATATATGGTACTTGAGAATATGACCAAGTACCATAACTACCAAATAATTTAGGCAGACTGAATATGTTAGGGGATAGATACTGTATGCTTGGAGTGAGTGAGTAAGTGAGTGAGTATCGCCTTTATCAATATTCAGCAATACCTGATCAGGGGACTCAAGAAATTGGCTTCACACATTGTACCTATATGTATAGGGAATCGAACCCGGGTGTTCGGTTCGACGAACGAACGCTTCAAACACCAGGTCACCCGCCACCTTGTTGACGGTTAAAGGTATATGGCATAACCGTGTTTCTCGTTTCTTCTGTACCTTGCTTGTGATATTGGGGTGATGATACTACGCATTGAAAAATCACAGTGTATGGTGTAGAGGGCAATCTACACTCAAAATAAATTGTTTTGTTCTCTTCATCAAAATGCCCTCTTTATCAGGCAATAAGTATATATTCTATGATTTCATAGATCTACTACTGAAACTGGTTTTTGTTATGTCACATTGGTGTCTTGTACTGAAGACAAATCTGCAGCTTTGAACGTTCTTGTTGCTTTCCAGGCGGAAACGAAAGTGATTTGGGTTTACTTCAATGGTAATTACTAATGTTGACAGCGAGTCTGTGTTTCAGGGTATCACACAGTGGTGTCTAGTACTGAAGACAAATCTGCAGTTTTGAACTTTCGTGTTGCTAAGAGAAGTAGTTCTAGACGGAAAAAGTGATAAAGGGTTCTCTTTAATGGTCATTTACAGATGGTGACAAAGAGTCTATGTTTCCCCGTCTGATATCATTAGTCATGCGATAACTGTCCGGCGTGACAGTAGGTCGCCATATCGAAACTGTTGTTTCGAAACTAGTCATTTCAATTTCCATTCATGATGACTTGACATTGTAGGACCATTTATGGTGTTTGTGTTGCGTGTGAGAAGTTGCTGGTGGCAAATATTGACGCTGCTGATATCTTAATGCATAGTGGGTAAAGTTGACGCTGCTGATATCTTAATGCATAGTGGGTAAAGTTGACGCTGCTGATATCTTAGTGCATAGTGAGTAAAGTTAACGCTACTGAGATCTTAGTGCACCTGATCTGTGAAATGTTTGGCCCAGTGTAATACCGTGCTTTCCACACACATATTTACACACGTCAAGCCTACAAATTTGGCTAAGAGACAAAAATACCGTTTTGGGTTGTTCCGAAAATTTCATCAACCAAAACAATTTCTGACATGCATAGGGAATATTGCATCATTTTGTATCATGAGAATGACAATGAAAAGGATTGAATAAATTATTACTACACGTTTACTGTATAACTTCCTGATCCACCCACGACATCAATGTGAGGCGACTGCTTGTGTTTGTCGTGGTCTCTGTAGGCGAGGTGATGGATGTATCGCATTGCCGCCCACGCAAAGTCACGTGGAACGTGCCAGAATATACCATATATTGGGTTAAAATACGCCTCAAGTAGGTATCGCGTGAGCGACATAATACATGCACTTAGATGCAGTATTTTGTTAAGTCCTTTCTGTCCTGAAGTAACTATTCTAAATTATCTGATCACCAAGTTTTATCAATGCACCATTAAATGTCAGTAGTCCGTTATTCCAACAGATATAGAGCATATTATATGAGTGCCCATGACATACTATGTTCACGACACGAGTGCCTAAATGTTGGTATTTCCCGATATACCGATATTTAGGCACGAGTGTCGTAAACATAGCATGATATGAGCACGAATATAATATTCTGGGCCCTTATTCTCAAAACGTTCGACCGCCTCCGTGGTGTAGTGGTTCGAGCGTCCGCCCGGAGAGTGGAAGGTTGCGGGTTCGATCCCCGACCACGTCATACCAAAACACGTTAAAATATGGTACTTCTTGGTCCCTGCTTGGCGCTCGGCACGGCATTAATGGGTACAACAAGGACTGGTCGGCTCGGAGTCAGTATAATGTGTCTGAGTGGGGTATTCATGCTTCACTGCGGCATGAGTGGGCTAGCACGACGTTTAACTCAACTTCACCTCACCTCGAAACGTTCGTCGACCTAAGAATTCTTAACTTTGATCGTAGCCAATATGTTAAGAATGGACTTAAGACGTTCGTAGGGTTACGAACGTTTCAAGAATAGCTCACCTGTTTATTATGGAAGTCGTCAAATTGAGGAAAATAGACCCAAATTTACTTTCAAACATATAATAGACTAGCTACCCGCCGTCGTCGCATGTAGAACGCAACTTCACAGGAGAAACGTGATGTTATATCATTGTTCATGACGTCACGTCACCATGACAAAGTGATATTTTACCCAAGGGCATCGTATGAAAAATATGAACCCCGATATTTTCGCCCTTGTAGGTAATAAAGATAGACAGACAGACAGACAGATAGAAAGACAGACAGACAGAGACAGATAGACAGACAGACAGATAGAAAGACAGAAAGACAGAGACAGATAGATCGACAGACAGGCATACAGACAGACAGATAGATAGATAGATGGATAGACGGACTGAGAGACAAGTTGAACAGATAGACAGATAGACAGACAGCGAGAGACAAATAGACAGACAGACAGACAGATAGTGATGTATTGAGGTATATGGTGTTGCAGCTACTCTTGCAAACCATGCAGTAGCGTTTTGCGAACGTTTGTAATTTTGGCGTTCTTTTACCCGTCAGTTTGCTCTGTAGAATATATCTATTGTCCGTATAACGCGAACAATCGCCTTACTGCCCAAATCTACAATAGGTACACTAGTGATGCCAAACACATCACTTCCTTAAATGATTAACTTAACATTTCCCGGGTCCCTTTAATCAGCATTATTTGAACATTATAACAGCTAAATTTCTTCCCCTCAGATCTGCGGACAAATGGTGGCAAGTTGACATGTAACATTCTTTCCGCCTTCATCTGGTGTCGTCAGTTATTGTACATATACCGCTCAGTTAGGAGCCAAGTCGGTGGCAACGGTCACATTCACGAGGATGTCGTTTATCGGATGTGTGCGAGTGAAAAGCTGATGATTTCCGTAGATTTCACAGCATCAGGACATTTAACATCCTTTTCCTCTCAAGTACAACGATGGGGGTCGGGGTTGCGATGGGGAGGGAGAGAGGGGTGTTCTATGTATATAAACTACCACTTATATCATGAGTTAGTTTAGGTATTCAAGACAATACACTCACGATACGCTCTATAGTTAAAGGTCAGACTCAAGACACTCTCAATTCAAGGCTTGACCAACGAGGCGCTCTATAGTTCCACAATACACTTACGATACGCTCTATAGTTAAAGGTCAGACTCATGACACTCTCAATTCAAGGCTTGACCAACGAGGCGCTCTATAGTTCCACAATACACTCACGATACGCTCTATAGCTAAAGGTCAGACTCATGACACTCTCAATTCAAGGCTTGACCAACGAGGCGCTCTATAGTTCCGCAATACACTCACGATACGCTCTATACTTAAAGGTCAGACTCAAGATTCTCTCAATTCAAGGCTTGACCAACGAGGCGCTCTATAGTTCCACAATACACTCACGATACGCTCTATAGTTTAAGACCAGACTCAAGACACTCTCAATTCTAGGCTTGACCAACGAGGCGCTCTATAGTTCACGACAATACGCTCATGACACGTTCTTTTGTTCAAGACAATACGCTCACGACACGCTGAATTCACGGCTACGTCTGTTTCACTGGTTCATGTTTGTTTATCTCAGTCCAACCTTAGCCCTCTGCCCCATATCCTGTTACCCTATGAACATGTTAGTGCGCGTCTCACAGGGGTTCTGTTTGTATATTGTTTTACGCCGTACTCAATATTCGAGCTATATGGCGACGGTCTGTAAATAATCGC